GACCGAACAAATAGTTTAATCTTCATATTGCGGTTTGTGGACCTTAGATGGGTCGCAAACTTCCATTACGCCAGAGATGTTGCTCTCCACAGATTTGCCTAACTGCCTGCGGTAGAGCTAAGCAGGTCATCAGCAAGATGACGCACGAGTGATGTTTGCATTGGAGTGAATACCTCTCAGTTTGGGAAGTTGTTGAACTTCGCGTGCCCACTTTCACTGCACTTATGCCCCACCTCAGTTGCACTTAGCTTGCAGGTCTCTTACTCAGCAATGACATCTCTTGTTGCGAAGAAAGGTATCTCACGGTTAGAATTCGTGCCACCGAGATGCGAAACGTTGCTCAACCTCTGAAATAGGGTCACTAAGGTTTCGACCTTCTGGTGCATACCTAGTTGCGTTTAAACCGCCCGAGCAGCACTTACAACGGACAATGTCAAGAAGGCCTGTGCTACAGAATTTCCTTGCGGTGAACTGCCCCCCTCGAAGACTGGTCCAAAGTTAGCGTTACTGCAACCTGCGGCCACGGTTCGCGTCTCACAAATCTGAGTCGGGGGCTGTGTAGCGGTTCAGTTGGTACTGTCGAACATCAGTTGATTTTCCGTCAGATGGCAGCCCTAGCTAGATGCCTCGTTCTGTTTTTCTGCCGCACAACGAACTCCCTTGATAGATAATGGACTGTAGTAGTGGGTTTCGGCTTCAGTTAAGATGCTTAGCCTGACGGACTGCATCATCCAACTCCGCCCCTCGAACAGTTCCGGTTATGTTCTGCCCAGCCCGCGGCCCCACGGCATAGGTCCTCAAATTTTGTGCTACCACGCCTCTTGCGCCATCAGCTTCTGCAGAAACTGAAACCCTGAGAATGCACCCACTGTGGACTAGGATTTCTTCCGAAACATTTCAGAGCGCGCCTCTGTTCGGGTCAGCTGTTTCGAATAAGAGCACTTGTAGTGTGCGCTTAGGATACCAAGCCAAGGCCGTCTGGCAGCAGCAAGAATCTTGAGCAAACCGACATCGTACCTCTTCGCCGCTCGTATTATTTCAGCGATACGCAATCTAGCCTGTGGTCAAGCCCTAGGGCATGGCCACAATAGTTCTCGCCGTCGACAACGGTATCATGATTTCGTGGGAGTAAGTTCTCAGGCGGGTGAACGTGACGACTGTACGAGGCTGGATCAGTCCGTCTCGACATTACTCACCAACGGGTCAGCCTTTGAAGGACAACAGCGTAAGCATCATGACTTAGGAGTGCCTTCAGAGCCCCATTCATGAAACCTACTACGTGGGTTTTAGGTCGCGCGTAGAATGTTAGTGTGGACGCAGCTATGGCGGGTTTCCAGCACCAAGGTGTATGCAGTGCGCCCGAATGCTCGGGTCGACGCGAATTTTGAATCCGGGTCACCATCTTTTTTACATAATTATAGCAAGAATAACTTTTCCCGGATTCCGATTTGGCGATTCGATGACCGCGCGATCTACGGAATTACGAAGATGCCGTCTACTATTATAGTTGTGTGGCTGTTTAGGCTTGAAGAACCCGACGCCAGAGGTTTGCGAACGAGTATACAAATGGTTGGTGACGAGCATTGTGTGTATGTTAAATGCATGTCCACTAATGACCAGACTTGTTATGAATAACGCCAAGGGTGTCTGAAGCAAATTCCGTCGAAGCAACTGAAATTCCTGTTTTTCTAGGCACTCGAACTACATTTCCATCTTGTGGGGCTCGTTCCCTCCAAAAACATGCCCATATCGGACATCTTGTACGCCGATGCCGGACCTCTTGGAAACCTGGATAAGGAAGCAGGGGAAGCTGGTTTTTTCACCAAGTCGACAACACAGGAGTTGGACAACGAAACTCAAGGCGGATCCTACTACCGTTACGCGTCTGACCCTCTGTTGCCGTGGCGCATACATGCAACGTTGAAGTGGGCCCTGAATAATTGCGTACTCCAGTTTGGAGATCATCTGAGGTAAGCCCATGTAATCTAGGAACCATTGTCTCAGAACCATTCAGATGGATGTGAGACGAAAAAGAAGACTGGAGCAGCTGTGGAAAACGTTATCGACCTCAAACGCCGTTCCTTTCTAGAAACATCGATTTCACAGGAAAAGACAGATTGCATTTAAATATTAAAGTAAATATACATTTTTAAGTCAAAATCCCTGGTCATCAGTGTTGGGGGGTCGCATACAGCTGTTTTTCCTGACTTTCTGTGCCATCCACCGGATCCCGTCGTCCACACCATCGCTAAAATAACAAGACGACCATGAAGAGACGCTGGAGAAGTGTTATTACACATTACTGGCAGGGTATATAAAGTAATTAAGGTCCCGCAAAGAGACAGGGGAGTTAGTGATTCCACTACTGCTAATGAACATATTTGTTGCTAGCGTGTTGTGCATGTAATTCGGCAACTCGACAGAAACTTCGTAAAACCCATGCCCGCTATTGATTAGACGTAATGGAAGCCAGGGCTTGTGCGCACGTTCTCAGTACGCTGCATAGGCCAACAGCCACTAAATCTGTCATAACGAAGGTTACGTACCTGCCTCCATTTGTCTAGCCTATGAGAGCGGGCAACAGTGCATCCAGATATGCATTACAAAGTACGCAAGAAGTACTTAATCGTTAACTCCTTGAATTATCTGTTCGGCCCCAGACGCCACTGGCATTCTGTATGCGCTAAGCCTACGAACGTTTACCCCCGTGTCATACCCACAAGCCAAATGATCTACTGGTCACGATATCGATGCATGTCTCCGGGATGAACCACGTCCTTTCGTTATCGCTGCGGATTGGGTCCATTGCCTTCGACTAGACCATAAGGCATTTCTGAAATGGTAAACATCTGATGCGGTTGGCAGATCAGGACGATACCGTGGTCTCTTATGGCATGACGGATAAAAATGTACTAGTAAAAGTCGCGAACATGTGGAAACTGACGTACTGCTGCATAAGTTAAGAGGGGCCAACACTTACCCCAGGAGAGCCGATGCTCCTCGCATGGAACAGTCCCGTTGGCCAATTAAGTGAGCACTTTCTTGGAAGACCTGTTTTACCTCGGAGACAGGGAAAGCACCCTATGAATAAAAATTCCCAACATTTATATGAACATTAGAGACGCTAGTCTTATGGCAGATGACGAGGGGACTTCCCATGCGGCCGCACTGTCCTTAAGGTCAACATGAGCTTTCTCAAACATAGTTCACAGGTTTTCACTAACACTGGCACGACAAAGCCCTCTGTCGTTAGTCAACGGTGGAATACTCAAGTTTAGTCTGTCTGGCCTACACGCATGAAATTTGTTAACGGATGTTAGCAATCGTAGCTAAGAACAGAGCAGAGTTTATAAAACCAAAGGAAAGAAGGTCTTACATCCAGGTCTTGCTTGTTGGCCAGTATAAGAAGCGGCAGGCCTTCAAGTGCCTTATTTTGGATCATTGTGTCTGAAAATGGAATGAACACGATTGCGTAACGAACCGAAGGCAGCTTTCGCTTCGTCAAATCTGTCGGGTTCGGAAGAGTCAACGACAAAGATTATTCCATGAGATTCTAGATAGTACTTGTCCCACAAGGATTGCAATTCAGTCTGGCCACCAAGGTCCCAAAATTTAATCACAATTCCTTCAACAAATACCTGGCCGACTAAAGAGTCATAAGAAAACAACGGAACTTACTGTTAAGACCCACAGTTGAGGTAATTTTGTTCAGAGGCATGGATTTGTAGTCCTTATTGAACTTTGTTTTAGTTTGTTCGAGATAAGTCTTCGAATTATATGGGGAAGAATGACGTTACCGTTTTTCCGGCTTCGTCGAGGCCAAGTATGAGGACCGAATATTCATCTTTTTTGGATACATATTTACAGAGTCCGCGGAACAGCGTGTACATGGTGGCACGAGCGCCTGTCAGTAAGCGCCTTGTCGGTGGCTCATCGGACTTTAAGCCCAGCGGTCTATTATATGAGGAGTAAAACAACTAGTTGCAATAAGTGAATGACTAAAAATGGAGGAGATTTAGACAGGGTACGCTGGTGTTATGATTAGCAACACCCAAAGGTGCATATTGATTCTGGGAATGAATTCGTGGGACAACATGAAGTGGGAGTGACAATTGTCGGAATCTCTTAGAGCAGTACGTACGAGAGGTTGGTGTGAATAGGACTAGGATGGCTCATGTTGGTGGCTTAAACTAGCCTCGGAGTAACAAATAGGGGAGATGGCTCAGAAACAGGCATAAACTCCCGCAGGATGCGTGCACTGGGACCCGCCTATTTCTCAAACTGATCTAAGCACACGTCGCAGCAAGCGAGGCTAAAAAACACTCCGAAATTCCCGCGGTCAATGGAGAAGTAATCGCTTGCTATTCCGCGTGCAAAATGTGTCCAACGGTTTATGGAATTATGTTTGGTGCTCATTCTATCGCCATGACAAACATATGCCAAGTCTGCTGCATTCATCCCTGCCAACACATGGCCCCGGGGGCCAGACAAGGCCAGGCCCAGTCCAAATTTTGGTGAATTTCCATCCTTTCCACTTACGTCATTCTGCATTATGTTAGACAGATTTCGCTCTCTTATCGTTAAATATAAACTTTTTAGCTTGCATTCACTATTGTAAACGGAGGTATGCAACATATTGTTCACGTAAGGTTTATGAGTGTACAGCGATCAAAAGTTGAATAGTATAACCTACTGCACGGAGAATTAGGAAAGGGAAAATACTGGTAACGTAAATGGGAGGTTACTATCAGGGAGAGCACAGCGTTCCCTGCGCGTTTTTTTGAGGACGGGGCCAGACGGGGCTATCGCTTCCACAGCCCCGTCGTAGCCCCGTCCGTAGCCCGCCGAAACGGGGCCCAGCCCCGTCTAGCCTCCGGGGCCAGACGGGGCTGTGCTAGCAGGGATCCTACGTGGGTCTTGCGAGGTGTTCAGTTAGGTCGATTGATGACTGTAGACGCGAGACTACCCAAGGTCTTTAGTTTGCAGATATCAAAGGAAGAACAGATGCGTGGCCCCGTACTCCGCGCTTTATTCTAATCCCGATGTTGCTGGACTATGCTAGCACATTTGCAACCATAACTCGAAACGCAGCAGGACGTAAGCTGTACGCATTGCGCAGTAAATGTTGGTACCAGGTCTGGATCGCATATTCAAGACGAGGCTCTAGAAATGTGCCGAAGGCTTGCTGGACAACGGGCCAAGAGGCAATGATCTGAGTAACAGCAGATGTACTTCTAGTATCATGAGTGACTAAACTGCAATTGCAACAGAGAATGCGGAGGAGTGAGGAGCCGAAGAGTCTTCTCGTGTGTGCCCTGAATGACACAGCCAACATTCACCATAGATAGACAGACAGATTTAGGCACGAGCTGACAAGGGTACAGGACGTTTTTCTCCATTGTTTGTGAACTTTTGTAAGAAAAATATCGATGAGCATTTATCAGCAAGGTGGACAACTCACATTATTCATAAGCTTTCTTGTCAGTAAGACAAATGGCAGAAAGAAAAGAAGCTTTAACATTATTCAGATGAACATTCTTGCGAATAAACAGTCTCTTGATGTGACATTACTTTAGTTCCTTGGCATTAACCTTCGGATCACGAAAGATAAAAGCTATCATATAAAGGGAAAATCTACTCCTCTTCGTCAAACTGTTTTCGTCTATAGAAACAGAATTCATTTTTCCTCAATCCCGGCGCTCTGCCTTTTACTAGCCGGTACAGAACTGCGAGGCCTTGAAGTTCCCCCTCACCAACAAACAAAAAGCAATCCATGAATTCCACTTACTCGAACGTTGTTTTCGAGGTTGGCCCTCCACATGAAGCCAGCCAAAATTCCTCTGCATTTCCGACGGCTTTAGTTCCATCTACCTCTTCACATGATCAAATTATCCCTAATTCAAGCGCAATAAATTAAATAAATAATTATATTTAAAGACCCTTGGGGGTCCTGTCATTGTGACGTCACTAA